CTAACCTTCCCAGTGACACTAGTTTTCACAGACTCCCAGCCCAACCAACACGGGCTCAAAAAAAAAAGGAACCCATGGGCTCAATTGGCCTCGCCTCGCCCAATGTCTTCAGCCTCCCTCCTCTATCTGGTAAATTGGCCAAATAGGCCACGTACTCTGACATGGGACGCTGGACCCGATTTCCAGCAGGTGAAGCCCCCCACCAATAAATGGAGCATTTTCTTTAGGAAAAAAAAAAAAACTCTGACATGGGACGCTGGACCCGTGGAACAGGGCCTGCACAGTCAATCCCAGGTAACATGGGCAATCCATGCCGGCAGGAGAGACTGTGTAAATCAGCCTAGAAGATTTTCACGGGGACGCTGAACCCATTTCCAGCAGGTGCTGCTCCCCACCAATAGATTGGAGCAACCAGGCGCTATGTTGCTCGCTGGCCGCGGCCGGGTTCGGCCCAGGCCGCGGCCGCCGGCCTAGGCCGGGACCCCCTCGGCCGCGGCCGGTCCGGCCGAGTTTTTTCAGCCGAGGCCGCCACCGATCGGGGAGRGGGTTTGGGGGGCGGGGAACGGGTTTCGAGTCGGGGGGGGGTCCCCTGTGTGTCCGAAACTGGATTTAACGCGGCTTTCGCGTTGAAAAATTCAACGCGCGTTGAATTCGCGTTAAACTCCCGTTCAAGCGCGAGTTGGACGGGAATTAACGGGGTCCGGGATGATTTTTTTCGTGGGCTAAAAATTATCCAAAAAAAAATATATATATATATATGGGGTTGTAGGCTTTCTTGAGGACTACAACCCTGTGTTTTTATTTTTATTTTTTGATGCTTAAATCTATTTTTCAAAAATCAAAAACATAATCACACAGTGAAAAAACAAAAACGAAAATGAAACGAGTGTTTTTGTTTTGGGTTTCACACACATTTTTTAAGGGCTAAAACGAAAACAAAAAATAAAAATAAAAAATATAGGGTTGTAGATCTTTCAAAGGTGTACAACAATTTATTTTTTATTTTATTCTTTGGAACTTCGTGTATTTTATCAAAACCATAAAAAGCAAATTGAAAAAAGGAAAAAAAGACACACAGACACACAAAATTGGGCCTGTAGGTTGCATGAGTCTGGTGTCAGTTGGTTGAGGGAACCCAGGTCCTGAGCCGCCTGTGTGAATGGATGGAAAGCAGGCCCTGGGCTGGATACGGGTACTGGGCCAAACACAGGCCAAAGGCAGTTGGGGGCATGCAACCACCTCAGGCCC